GGTCGCATTTTCAGCCTTTAAACCATGAAAGTCTGTGACTTAGCTCTGCATTTGTTTGGAAAGATAGAGATAAAATGACGTTGCTCATTAAAATGAGTGTGCCATTTATCCATTTATCTTTCAACTTTTAATTGTGGACTCAATTCCCTTGTTTAAAACTACTCTTATTTATGAGAATAAGCATGAGGGAGAGATTTTGTTACGTTCTAAATAATGTTTAGTAAGTGGGCTTCATGATCATGGGTTCTCAATTGCCAACTTCTTCATTTTGTAGGATGATCGCACATAAGCTTTGTATATGTTAATCATTCGGTGCAAAATTTAAGCATTGATAAAATGGAATAGTTACTTAACTATGGGAACATTGATACATTCTATTTAGGATAAATTTGGTAGAATAATGCTTGTGACAAAATTATTTTAGGATATACGGTTGGTGGGCATTTTATTTAGGGATAAATGTCATTTGTTGTATTGAATTAGGAACTCGTAACATGGGCATTATGAGTTTTATAAAATATAAATTTTTATTGAAGTGTGGACATGATTAAAAAAATGGTTGTCCCTTGTTCCCATATGTAATGGGGCAAGGGAGAGGTAAGATAGTAGGTTGCCCCCAACACTAGGTTGAGAGCAACTTCCGTAAGAGACCTTCAAATTATGAAATGCCCTCTATGGGACTCGATCTCACGACCTTAAGATTAAGAATCTTGTGCTCTACCAACAACTGAGCTGGATGGTCAGTTCAAAGTGTGGACATGATTAATTTTAATAAAAAATATATTTTTTCAATTTATCTGTGAAATTTGTTATTATGTTAATGTGACGAGTTTTAATAAAAAATGTATTTTATAAAATTCATCGTGCCCATGTGACAAATTTTTAATTCACTTTAACAAATGTCAGATCCCTAAATAAGTTTCTACCAGCCTCATTTTCTTAATTCTTTTTCTTGCCCATAATATTTTCCTAATTTTCCTTCTATTTAAACTCTTGATTTTTTTTTGAAATGGATGTTTTGTATGGATAATGTCCAAATCATACAAAATGGAACATCGAAACGGGACTCGTTAAAAAACTTTCCTACTCCTAACCGAAAGAAAAAGAAAGAACAAAAACGATACCACCAAATCTTTACAAACAGCTCAACCACTAGTAACAGAACCCTACCCATATAGCTCTGAATTAAAATATTTATCACCCATATCATTTAACTATTTAAATGGTATTCATTATTTCATAATTAAATCATTCATTAATTGTTAACGGAAATGTTAACACAATAGTTAAATAAATTTATATTATATAATTGATCTTTATTATTTATATATTATAATAATTTGGTCATAATTTTAATTTAATAAGTTTAATTTAATTTTTTAAAGAGTGATCTATTTGTAACCAAAGTAATATTTGAGTGATCAGGGTGTATTTTACCAAAACATTTAATCAACGTCAAATACAATCGGCTCAGTTTCTCGCTGTGCTCATAGAAACAGGAAAGGAAAGAGAGTCTGATTTTGATTTTGATAGCGTATGATGTTTTCTTTGTAGAATTGAGAAGAAAATGGAAAAAAAATCGCAAGATCATGTAGACAGGAAGAAGATATCAGTCAATTTAACATATAATACTTTAAAAGAAGAACCAATTTTTCAGTGCAGTACGTAAAATAAACTTGAGCAATACATATATAATCAAATTCGAGAAGAGAAAAGAAAGATTAAGGAAATGCAAAGGAATTAAATTAAAAGAAGTATGCAGCCATTGAAGCTAAGACAGCAAGTGCAGCAGGAACATCCAGTGCCACTCCCCCACTTTCCATCGGAGATGGTGGAATCGCCCCTTGATCTTCCCTCAAAGCGGTGGTTCCGGTGGCCAAAACGACAACCACCATAATGTAAGCAATCAAAATCATGGCCATTTTGCTACCCTCCATTTCCGACCAAGCCAAAAACAAGCACTCTTTAAGAATTACAGAGTGAGGAATAGAGAGCAGGTGAGCTATTGAAGTGAGCGTCTTGTGTTTTGAGCTTGACTGAAGATGAAGTGATTTCAAATGCCCTTTTTTATAGGCAAGGATTATGGAAATAATCAAGCATTGTCCAGCTATCTAATGCTTTGTTGCCTTAACCACTAACAAAATCATTAGTCGTTCCAGGCAAGTCTTCGGTAATTCCCATATGTCACATCTTAGAGAGGTGAGAGATATATCAGACAACTTCTGAATATAATTTAATGACTTTATAACAAGTCATATAAAAAACGATCATTCGATAGTCGGATTTTACCTCGAGGAAACATTAATCATTGGAGGAAGAAAAGAGATATTTTAAAGTTTAAAAGTGATGACATTACACATCTTATCAGATATATCTTTTTAAAATAATATACGTCGTACAATATCTCAAGCATTATCGTATTCTTATCTTTTTAATTTTATTTTCATTTAATAACGTATATTCGGAGTATATGATTATCCATATTAATAATGTATTAATCTGATTGGTTAGACAGATAATTTAGATGATAATACAAAAGCATTTTGAATTTAGGAAAGAAATATCATTTTAGAGGCACATGGGAGATTCTTTACAATGATAGCTAGACATTATATAGGAATCTTTGGGCTTAATTTAACATATAAGTAAGGTGGCCAGTAGGCTCGAAACATAAATTAAATTATAAAAATGTGATTAATTGATTGTTTTGGCAAATGCAAATGGTTTAGTTGGCATTTCCTTGCTTTCGGGAGCAGAAACCACTTTAGCAGTTAACCAGCAACAGCTGGATCATTTCCCTACTAATAATGATTTATGTCTTAACCTACTAAAAGCAGTAGGGATGGTTACCGATATGAATTTGATCGAATATACATTCTTTCATTCGTCATTTTACCTAATTCAGATTAAACTAAATTTTATTGAATCTGAAATTAGATCTAATTTTAAAGATAAAATTTTAACTTAATCTAATTCAAATATAAATTTTAAAAAAATATATCTTTATAAAATTGGGTCGAATCAAAATCCGTCGTATATAGATCAAATATCCATGTTTAGAGAAGAGACCCTAGCACAACATTGAAAGTGTTTCTAATATTTAAAATTTTATATAAATATATTTTTCGTATAATCACATATATCTGATTTTTTTTAATAGAGAGCTTTAAAAGGGCTAGTACATTAGTTGTATTGATCTTCTGCAATCATCCTGTAATGCTGGCAGGACTTCCACCGGGAGCTTTAAATAAGGTGATGTTCCATTCACTATTAGCAATTCCCTATTATTTGAGTAAACTATTTATTTGGTCACTTAACTGTTATTTAGTTATTACATTAGCATCATCATTAATATTTTAACAATGGATTATTAAAACTCACATATTATTTAATTATCACATCGACATCACCATTAATATTTTAATAATGAGTGATTAAAATATGACATTAGGTATGATTTTATAAAAAATAATAATAATAATTGGATGATCAAAACAGAAACTAAGCAATAGGTGGTTGACCAAATAGAAAATTTATTTAAATAATTAAAATATAACATAATATAAATATTTAAACTTGTAAACCAACAGCCGACAATGACTCCGTGGCCCAATGGATAAGGCGCTGGTCTACGGAACCAGAGATTCTGGGTTCGATCCCCAGCGGAGTCGTTTGCAATAATACTTTTCCATATGGAATTTTTTTATTTGAAATTTAAACTATACAACGCTATCCCATGATTTCTGTGATTCCTCCTTGTGAATTGTGATATGTAGATGGTAGGCTTTTTAATTTCACAGACGTAGAGGACAAGACTAGACTCGGGGAACTAGCAAGATTTAACCAAAAACATCAATTTTGATGCATGTTGGAATTACAGACATCATTTTCCAGCTCTTTGCGATTGCGGACGACAGTTTGAATGAGCTTGCAGTAATGGTTTTGTGGAACCATAGTTCCATAGAAATCTATTGCTGTAGTGGTTGTATGTCACAACTGGAGAAAGGAACATAAGTTACAGTACTACCGGTGTCGAAGATAAGAACGAATTCATGAGGAGACGTTTCATATCCATAATCGACTAGTGTAATAACTGCTAATCACCAAAAAGAAGAAAAAAACTCAAATATTTTGAAAAGTCAAAAAGAAAAAGAAAAGAACTAATCATTTTATTTATAGGAGACTAAGGAGAGGAGATCATCGTAGAGTCTCATACGCGTGTTTGATGTAGGAGAGAGTCCCGATTGCAGAATATAATGACGGATATTTTCCCAAATGTTGTTATTTATTGTAAATCATTGCGTGAGGATAGTTGTAGAAGGAGGAGCATCGGCCGTCGGTAATTTTTGAACTTTGATTTTATAACAAAATCAAAGTTTTAACGTTGATTTTATATATTTTTTAAAAACTTAATATTTAAAAAAGTAATCAATTTATGAAAGTTTAGTGAGATTTTTGAACTTTACCCTTTTCTAATAACAAAAAGAAGAGGGCGGTGCTGTTAGGTTTGTAATTTGTGGGCTATGATTGTGTAATAATTTTTGAGTTTTTCACTCATTTTAGGGTCAAAACAGAACTAAAGGAAATATTTGAGAATGAAAATGAATAAAATAAAAATATGATAAACTATGGGCGTCTCTCTTTCTCTTTTTTAATTTTATTAGTATGTGATAATTATAAAATAACATTCTTTAACCACTGAAATCAATTAATGGGTTCAAATTCAGTAAGTTATGTACTCACCTATGTATGGTTAGTTTTAATAGAAAATAATTGAGCCCTTAAATCCAAGCAAACCTGGGAGCTCCAGTATAATCAATTGATTCAGGATGATGGCATACCATAAATCATAAGTAGATAACATGAGATATTGAAACCCAATTAAGTTCAACCAGTCTGACAGTCCAAGCCCTTCTCAAATAAAAGCAACATTCGGCCAATAAACTCGTAGAAATTCATTACCGAAAATTTCAGAACTTTTTAAACTCTCCTTTATCAAAGAGAAATTACATAAACAGGTTGGGCCTTGATGCCTTGTAGGTTGTCTTCAGCTTCCTGGTAGGTGGCCTCACCTTCTTCACCACCAAGGGGAACTTGATTTTTGAGTTGTGGAACTGCTTTGTGTTGTCCCTCTTGCATAGCTTGGCTGGGATGGTTGCCGTCTTGATGATCTGAATGCACGGAAACCTAACTCTGTGGCGAGAAGCCATCTCGGTATACATCTGTTCAACAGCTCCGTTCAAAGTAGTATCTCGGTATTCCTTGTACATATTGTGATAACCGGTACGACTTTGGTAGCGAAGCCAAATACCGTAATTCTTGATCTTAGTAGGATTCTTCTCAAAAATCTGCAGATAATTTATTTTAGACAAAAGGCATCGAAAAGAAAAATGATAAATACATCAAAAACCAAGTTACAGATGGTTCATAAGATAATCAATATGCAACCATTAACATTTCTTTTCCTTTTTCAAACCAGAAGCATCGTATAAAATAGTGAATTACATATGCTCAAGAAACAGAGATAAGAGTAAGAGATCATAAAGTTTATCCAAGGTTCCAAACCAACTTGGATTCGAGGAACTCCGGCTTTCAATATTTTTAATCATACAATGCAATGGCATTCCAAAGTAAGAGATGAACAAGTTATCAAACAGTAATTTCCTAAAAAAGAAAAGGGTACAGCATAAAAGACCAGATACTTCATATTCAAGATGCATGGAACTCTTAAACCGTAAACAAAATTCCATAAATCCTTAGATCATATGTTACTTTTCATCTAATTCCCATGTTTCTTAAGGGATAAATTTAAAAATGTAGCTTACCAGATACAAACTTCAATATACATTACATACGCATAAACTAAGTGTTGCCAAATCTCACATAACTGACACGACTAGCTCTAAGAAAATTACAGATACATACAAAGCGAAAGGATACTTCAATTCACATTCCAACGTAACATCTAAATAATAAATTACTTCACATAAAGTGAATCAGCAAATATACAACATCCAGCACACACCTCATTGATGGCAAGGACTTGACCATTGCTTTTCTTAACCTTCTTCAGCTTCCTCAAGAAATACCTGATTAACATACAAGGATAGAAACTTCAATCAAATGGGATTACAATTAAAACCCAGAAAATCACGGATGTCGATCAAAACAATCGCTGACCAGAACTTAGACTTGGCCCGAACCTCATTGGTGGCCCAAAGCTTCATCCTGTAAATCTTAGGGTGTTCATCGCTCTCCGTTGGGTGAGCCCTCCCAACAACCTGGTACTGGTGAAACTGCAACCATAAACAACAACAAATCAAGACTTCAATATATTTTCCCACGTTGATCAACCACAGAATGAAAATTACTCCACCCTTTTGTTTCTAATAAGACAAAAATCTTATTATCCCACATTTTACTAAAAATTTCCAGCGAAATGAAAAAAATAAAAACACATGGATCTAGATATAGTATAATCACAAAACCGACACCAAATCTACACACAGACTGCTAAAAAATATCCCAAAACCAGTAATCATTGTAGAATTCTGGAGCTCAAAAAGGGAAATCAATAGGGTTACGTAAAAAGATTTGAGGAAAAAGAATCGTTCGTCACTTACCCTGAAAGTAACCATTTCTGAGGAAAAAGTATCTGATGAATTTGGCAGCCTTGTCTCACTCTTCTGCTCAAGGTAGGCGAAGACGAAATTAGGGTTTTCTTTAGATTATATAGTTGTAGAACTTGACAGATCAAAACCCTAGATCAAAAAATACGGGTCGGGTCAGGTTAAATTTAGTTATGTAGTATATGGGTTAAGATCGGGTTGAAATTTTATATCCGGAGCAAAATTAAATAACTAAGGTTTGGGTCTCATCTCGACTTCAAAATGCTTTCATTATTTTGGTTGTCTTCAACTCTTTGCCTTTTGTATTTTGTTTTTAGTTAAATGGATTTTCATTTTATAAAAAGAATTAGGGAAACGTATACAAGACATTGTTTTGTTAAGTTTCTCAATTTTTAAAAATTACAAAATACCCTCTTGATAATAGAAAGTTATTCTATTGAGTTTTCCAACTATTAAAAATTATAAAATGGTCACTCGATTATTCATATGTTACAAATTCATCTTTTTCTATTAAAATTTTGATGATCGTTTGAATTTGACGTTAACTTGTTGATTGAGATATGATAAAATCATATTTTAATGATACCTACTGCCTCTATCGTTTCTTTTAGCACTGGATCGACAACATAATGTTTCAAGTACTAATTCGATGACATAATGTAAAAAAATACTTGATCCATAAAATACACCTGAAACAATTATGAGATCATATTTTTATCATATCTCAGTCAACATGTTAACGTCCAACTCAGAATGTCGTCAATTTTTAACCAAAAAAATGCGAGTTTGAAACATATGAATAGTCAGGTGACTATTTTGTAACTTTTGATAGTCAGATGACTCAACAAAGTAACACCCTATATCCGAATGACCATTTTTACCTTTTAATAATCGGAAGACTCAATAAAAACATCATCCGATAATCAAGGTATCATTTGTGTACTTTAGCCAAAAATTTAATAACAAATGTAGAGAATAAACACCAAATAAAAGTATACAATGTCTGTAATACCCATCCTCGATTCATACGAGCGATCGAAAAGAAAATGTTACATACGGTTATTGAATTAAAAACATAACTAATTTAAATCTTATACAAACATTCATGGATCAAATTCACAAGTAGAACATAATAAATAAAGTTTAAAACATCATCTATGCTCATTGTATAGGAGTTTAACCATTTAAGGTCTAATTTGTAACTTCTCAAAAGTTTAAGGATTAAATTGTAATTTTTTTAAATGAGGTGTACTTAAAACCTAATATTAATTATTTCTAAATTTGTGCTTAGCACGTTACACACTAATCAATTATGAATTAAGTAATATAGTGATATTTTAAAAACATATTTTCAAGATAAATAAAATTGAAAGAATATTGGAAAATGATTAACAATTTTCTTATTTGTAATCCCATATTTCTTTTAGTTTAATTTTTATTTTAGTGGCATTTTCCATGTTTTACAATCATTCAAATAATATCGTTTTATATAAATAAATAATATTATAAAATGTGTTTTGACATTCAAAATAAAATTATAAAGCAAGAACGAAAAATACATAAAAAAAATTAAAACTCAACGTTTATTTGATTTATAAATTGTTCCTTTAATCATGAAACGTCAACAAACATGTTAGACTATATATATATAAAGTATTTATTTAAAAATCGAAATTTCAATTATGCCTTTTGGTTATAATAATTTATTAGAATAGTTTTCATTTTTCTCTAACTTCTACCATAATTACTTAATTATAATAATTCCCAACATTTTACCTTTCTAACTAAATGCGTAATTCTTTTAACATTTTTCGTAATTCACCTTTTATTAAATATTAGATCATGGTTTTATTTTATTTTCTTTTGGATAACTCATTTTAGAATTGTCCAAATTTTAATTATCCAAATTTTAATTATGTGATTAATTTGAAATTTCGTTTGAATTGTTTTTTTAATTTTCTTACAAATTACCTCAATAATGAACTCATGATATATCATTTGGTTGATCATACAACTTGTTGATGGAATATTAAACTTCTAATTTCAGTAATAGAAATTTAATTTATAGAAGTCTAAATTACATTGCCAATTATGTTTTATCCAATTAATACAATTTGTTGATAGAATAATAAAATACATAATTAGAAATTTTCTAATTCCTGTAATATAACATAAATTATTGAAAATAAGGTAAAATAGTATTATAGAAATATCTATGAAAAACTGGGGTCGTAACAATTTTTAATGATCTACATATTATGATTTAGATGAAGAATTGTGATTAATTATTTACAAAATTGACAAAAATGAAGTATAAATTCGACAATACTTTTCCATAAAATCGACAAAAATAGTAAAAGAATTCAATCAATAAATAAAAATATTCTGATTTCACTCCCCAGATTCTTCGTGGAGACAGCAATTTGTCTTGGCTATGGACCAATGCCGAGTATTTCCCCCCGCACAATTGCAAAACTTCGTTTCGGGTTTAACCATTCTTTTGTGTCCGTTTCAAATGGTTCCATTACAAACCGCTGGCGATGTTGTCGGTTCTATAGTCCGGGACCTCTTGCACTCGACAGGTCTAATTCATCAATGCCTTCAGAAAACGAAAAAGGCGTTGCTAAAGCCGTTCGAGGGGCAGTTCGGCCGTCTCTTGCTTTGGCTTGCACTCTAAGCATCATCAGTTGAGGCTGTAAAATGAACTTTAAAGCTATGGCTTGTCCCAAGCAACAGGTTTATCGGAAAGCTCCATCTTTCCAGCAAAATGCTCCTCTGGTGGCACCGAGGAAAATGGCACTCAAGTCATTACTGGATGTAACGGTGTGCCTGGCTTCAAAAGAGGGAAGAAGGATGAGGGACGTTAGTCCAGGGTCACATGTCCCTGGTCCGAGGCATTCGGCTCCATCGAAGGATCAAATTGATCAACTCAAGGTTCACTAAATTTACATACTTTTTCAAGTCTTACCATACCTTGTTTGCAATGATTCGTGTTCTTAGTGAAGTTTAATGTTGTAGAAAGAGGCTATGAGCCTAATGAAACGTGGTCTGCTAGAAGAAGCACTATATATGTTGAAGAATGAGTACAAGAAATGTCGGAACCTGAGTCCGCTTATTATATGTTGAAAACTTTTCAGAAACTGGATTAAGAATGTAGATGTTTATGTTTGTTTTTATTATACAGTGAGAGAGTGATCTTTCATAAATCTTCAAACCTTCAGAATCTATCCGTTCTCTATCGGCCAAAGTTTTCAGTCAAGCTTCTCTATCTATCAGAATCTCTGTCTAGCTCGCATCTCTAAACTTAGGCTTTCAGTCAACAATAACACAAACAAAATCTTCATACACGACCTCTGACAAATTCCACGTAATTTATCAGAATAAAATCCAAAATATAATCATCAGATCTACATAATTTGTCAACATACGAATAGTCATAATGATCATGCGGCTGATACAGACACTAAAACCACTATAAATACCTCTCAACACAATTAAAAAAGTGGTTGGAACCCCTCACTATCAATCTCATCTTCTTCATCCTCTTTCTTTCATGACCGACTCCCTGTAATACAAAAATACAATTCAACAATCGTTTTTTCAACGATCGCGACTTTTCACTTAAATTAAAAGAGATGTTGTTCTTATCAACATTTTCCTTCATAACGTATGATTAACATTTGTAACCAGGGGAAATATGAAGAAGCCTATGGATTTATGAGCACTCATGAAAAAAAAATTCAAATTTTGATGTTCGACCTACTCTTTACATTGTTCATTACACTCGTCTAAACGGAAAACAAACAATGCAAGATCAATTGAACTGATGATTCGGTGGACACTAGTTTATTTTATGATTGGATTTATTCTTTTCACTTTTTCCTCTTGATATTCCAAGCAGAATGATAGAAAAAGATGAGGAAGCACAGAATTTATGGGAAGAATTTGCATGATCCATTGGAGGGTTTTCGCCCTTCGGCCTCTAATTGCCATGACAAGGCTTACAATTTATATAAACTAAAATAGGGTCCTAGAAACGAAAAACCAAATGATTTTCAAGTAGTACTTTTGAACTCAAGTTATGAAAAGCAATGAATTTGTTTAAACTCTATTTATACTCATATGGAACTCATCACATGTCTAGGGGTGAAAGTGATAGTTATTGTTTCTAGAGGTCTTTGAGTTCTAACAATTGTATCCGCAAGATATGTGAATATTATCAATATATTATACTCGTTGACTTATACCATGATAAATCAAGAAAAATTATACTCGTTGATGTGTACCATGATAAATCTGGAAAAATTACTTCTAAGACATTAATTACACATCATAAAAATTATATTATATTGTATTATTTATTATGGTTAATTGTGATAATCAATACTAAATTTTACAATAGTCTTTTTATATTTTTACTAACAATTATGGTTTTTTTAATATTTATTTAAAAGTAAATAATTTTACAATTTAATTTGTAATATTCTATATTATATTAAAACCAAATAATGATTAAAAAATATTCTTATTTTTTATATAACAAATACATTTTGTGAAAATTTACTTTGAATGAAAATTTTCATAGATTTTGTAAAAAAATAATTTCTCCCTCTAGTTTTATTTCCTTTTGACTTGAATGACTTAAATTTTTAATTAAAATTAAAAGAAATCTTTTTGTTTTTTTTACAAATTTACACTTATATATGTTCCTTTTTTTATAACAAAATCAAATATTTTATGCTTTTCTAAAAGAGTGAAAAATATTTTATTTTTATAAAAATATAATTTTTTATATATTTAAAAATTGGATATTTATAAAATAACAAAAATAATTTTTTTTAATTACAATTAAGATCTCCAATGAGATATCTCTTAATGACAGTTTTATAATTAATATTGACAATTAAAATTTTAATGTTTATTTTATCATAATTTAATAACGGAAAAGATCATTGTAATATACTTCAATGATTATTTATGTATTTTATCATAATGAAACGACAAGAGACAGCTAGAAAAAACCCATTCATAAAACAAAACTCTTGAAATGAAATAATAAAATAATATTCATTTCATTTTCTCAGGTTTTAAAGCACAGGCTCCCTGTACCTCTCTGCAATACTCTTTTCAGTTCATTTCAACAAACCTACAGAGTTTGAAAGAGAAAAGAGAGATCTCAATCAGCATCTCTCTATTCTTCTTTTCAACAATTTCATTCCAGTAATGGCCGATGAACCTTCTCTCACTCGATGGTCTTTTCTGGTACTCGCTTTTTTCCTTTTTTTTTAATTTTATTTTTAATCTCTTGTTTGGTTATCAAAATTATCCAAGCAAGAGAGAAGAAAAACCGTTGTTTACTCCTGATTTATCTTTCGGTCAACGAGCTCTATGAAGCAACTTGACTTACTTGGATTGACCTTTTTCTTTTGCACTTAATTTTTAGCTTTAGATTGCATTGGATTGAAGAAATGTTTTTTTAAAAAATTTGATCTAACTTTGTGAAGAAACATGGTGAAGGAAAAGGGAAACGGAATAGCTCTAAGCATTTTCTTTAAGCAATTATGTCTATTATTCTCTAGGATTTTAAACTGTTTTATGATGCCAAGTTTGGGAGGAAGATATTTCCTGAGCCGGAAAATGTTCAACCTGCTGATGCGACTGTTTCCAACGGCACTACTTCCAACGTCACCTCGAATAGTAACCATTCTGTCAGGAACACTTCTGATATGGCTATTAACAAGCAGTATCGAAATCAGGTACTTTTGCGATTTTAATATATTTTTTTAAAGTCAAACTTACTTGTTTCTTGGTTGGAACTTGGAATGATTTCATTGTTGTTTTGTTTCGATTTCAGGGTACGAACTCGTGCACTCAAATGGTGCTGTGTCTAATGGATTTGATTCAAGACCGTACGTTTATTCCTTTCTTTGATTCCTGATCATAATATATTTCTTTCGTCACACTTAGAAATAGGCTTTTATATGTATAATTCTCCACATCGACCGCTGGATTAGTTCTTTGATTCTCTCCAGCTCTTTAGGAAATGAGGATTTTGATGTTTCCTTTTCTCTTTTCTTTTTCAGACAAAGATCTCTGCCCTGCTTTTGAATCAGCGGAAATGCGCGCATTAGGAGAGAGTTTAAGTAGGTAATTAAAATTTCATTATCTTCAGGGGTGATAGATAAGAAGTTCTGGCTATTGTATTGGAAAGCTTGTGTAGCATATTCTTTAACATTTTTACTTGAAATTTTTGTCTACCATCATATCCATTTTAGGGACATTGTTCGAGGGAACCCAGATGTTAAGTGGGAAAGCATCAAGGGACTAGAGGATGCCAAACGCTTACTAAAAGAAGCAGTTGTCATGCCTATAAAATATCCCAAGTCTTGCTATGAAATAGACCATGAATTCTGAGTATGACATTTCACTACTCCTTGCAAAGGGTGACTTCAGGGGTGAAGCCAGAACTTTCATCTTGAGGGTGCTGGGATAAAAATACTGCTAACATCTTTGATAAAAAAAAGTTAATAAAAAAATTATAAACTTGAATGATACAAATACTGTCTTTATACAAAGAAATAATCGTTGTATTACATATATGAATTAATAATGGACTATAATTTATCAGACTAAGAATTTATTTTCACTTGACTGCTATCCTATGTTTCTGGGTATATAAAGTCAGTTTTTCTTGCATTCTTGTTATCTGCATTGTATTTAAACCTACACTTGTGGTTTCCCCTATATTTAAGTTTCCTTTTGTGTATATGATGCAAATAATGTGACCAAAGTATAAGGCGGATTGAGTAGAAATTTGACTAAACTTTATGTAATTGACCTATATATCAATGATGGGATTCGACATTTGGAAAACAACTTAGTTGAAGTACAATTGACAATAGCTTCCCTTCATTACAAGGTAGTCAAGTTATTAGGATTCTAAAGCTAGTTCTCTGGAAAGAGCATTGAGTGCTTTTACAAAGAATTCTTCTATTTTTCCAATTTTTGATTGAAAAGAAAAGTGGATTTGTGACTATGAGGCTTAGGTAATTTAGAAGCTAGTGGTCTGAACTCTGAAAGATAAATGGAAAATACTACAAAGAGTTTCAAACTTTTCTTCTGAATGTTGTGGATGCTTAGCTGTATGATATGAGTTCATTTTCTGGGAACAAACACTTGAGATCAATGGAAATATTTTGTCAAGCATCATGAGGGCATTTATTTTTTCAATTTGATATAGTAAAATGTGATGAAACATTCAATGATATGCTATCAAGGAATTTGAAAGTTTCATTTCACAATCGATCTGATTTCTTGCAGGTACTTTACTGGTCTTCTTTCACCATGGAAGGGGATTCTACTTTTTGGCCCCCCATGGACTGGAAAGGTGTATATTCAGTTTCGTTATTTCCAATAGATTGATTTTGTGTTTTGCAAGCCATCTTCATTTGTTGTATATGTGCTATATATTTGGTTAATATGGAGGAAATCCGTCTTTCATAACCACATAGTACACTTTAGATTGACGAAGCTAGGGAGCTCTAATCCCAATGCTTGCATTCCCCTTCCCATGTGGAAGTCCCCCTTTGTACAAAGGGGGAAAAAGAGAGAGATCTTCATAGCTCACCATCTCCTCAACACTAGACGACAAAATTACACATCAGGGTAGATAATTTAATATATCTTGGTAGTGCTTATTGTTTTTTTTTTTGTTAATGATGCTAGTTTCTATTTGAATCACCGTTCTGGTTGCAGACAATGCTAGCAAAGGCTGTTGCAACAGAATGCAATACCACATTTTTCAATATTTCAGCTTCATCTGTTGTCAGCAAATGGCGTGGTATGTTAAACACAACTTTTCCAAGATCTCATTTGATTTGTAGAGGGATTTGATCATAGGTATGAAAGTTATGAAGAGTTGTCTCTAAAATGGAGAATGAAAGATATTATTGGAGAATATGTTAAATGCATCTTTGACTGTCAAACCATATTTTCTGATTGTTTGTTCCTTAGTTCTAATGACTGGTTTGGTAGGAGTTTTGGATGTAGATTCTTAGATATTTTGGTACTAACCGACGGTCCATTATATTTCTCTCCTAACACTTTTTTACCTTAAATCTAATCAATGGGGAACCTTACAGGAAAAACATTCTTCTCTAACTGGATTGTGAGAATGTGCTCTGGATATGATTGTGTGAATTTAAAAAGTTTACCCTGTTTTCGTATTCTGTTCCATTCGGGCTTTTACTTGGCAGAAAAAAGATGAAATTCTTTGACAAGCTAAATGGATCATGATATCAGTATTAACCAAAGGATCTACTAGGGCTGGACCCAATAAATTTTATTGTTGTTAACAGAAATAGAGCTCAGTTATCTAATCATGGAGTCCATAACATTTCAGGTGATTCTGAAAAGTTAATAAAAGTACTTTTTGACCTGGCAAGGCACCATGCACCGTCTACCATTTTCCTTGATGAAATTGATGCCATTATAAGTCAGCGTGGGGGTGAAGGACGCAGTGAGCATGAAGCAAGTAGGCGTCTGAAAACTGAGCTACTTATACAGGTGATGTTTCTTTCTTGAAAAATGTGTCATTCTCTTGGATATATTTATGCCGCGTGGTTTTGTGTGTGCTTATATTAAAATTGGGATCAATAATTCTTGCATATTAATTAGATACCTTGTAGCTAGACTTGTCCAAAGGTTGGGTTACCTACTTAGATGAGATGGGCCTTGGACAATATTTTCATGAATTCGGGCTGGCCTAACCCGAATTGTTATTTAATTCTTTCACTCTATAATCCAGTGACATATCATCACAAAAGTTTAGGCAATGAGATATGCATGTTTTCATTCGTGATAGTATTTTAACCTTGAGCATGGTTGGCATCTTAAACCAATTTTGCAGCAGATTTAGTGGTGCATTGTTTTTTTTTGCGTTTGTTATTTGCAATAATTTGAAAATAAATTGATTAAACCACACAAGCTGCTGTTTATAGCACTGCGGAAATTACATCACATTAGTTTTCAACTGATCAGTAGAATTAGATTGCAGATGGATGGTTTGATGCGGTCAGATGAGCTCGTGTTTGTTCTTGCAGCAACAAACCTCCCTTGGGAATTGGATGCTGCCATGCTCCGTCGTCTTGAGAAGAGAGTATCCTTTGACATTTAAATTTATTCTGAATCTTTTCAAACATTATTAACAATTTGTTTAAAACATTATGATAAACATTCTGAAGTTCAAGAAATGCAATGAAGAGATTTTCCTTTAACCAAGTGAAATAAGATTCTTGTTCCTCTACCAGAGCCAGAAGCAAGAAGAGCCATGTTTGAAGAACTTCTGCCTCAACAGCATGGTGAGGAGGCTCTTCCTTACGATATATTAGTGGAAAGGTCAGAATGGTACTCGGGTTCAGATATTCGATTACTCTGCAAAGAAGCAGCCATGCAACCTTTGAGACGCCTAATGACAGTCCTTGAAGATAAGCAGGAAGTAGTGCCTGAGAATGGTATGTGCTTTCTTATATTCTTAGTAGAAGGTTGTATAAACTTGATACGAGTCTTGCAAAATCATTTGCGTCTTACATAGAAGCTCGATATTTTGTGTAGCTTAACATTTATCCCCTAGGGCATCATCACTTCACATTCATCCGTTTCCTTCTGCTGTTTGGCATAGCAAACTCGAGAACTCTTATATCCGACAATTGACTACGCTCATAGTCTTAAGAGTGTAACTGGCTTTTATCGACATAATATTATTGTGCTTTTAGCTTGGGAGCCAGGATAGGTAAATCAAATCATGTTATTTCTAGTTATAAGACCAACACCATCTAGACTTGCACTAATTATACATTTGAACAGGAATACAAATTAGACAAGAATGATGTCTGGAAGGAAAGAGTTCTTTTCGGACCCATAACTTATCTCTGTAGATAAATGGATATGCTTTATTTTCTTATTCCTTTGTTTTGAATGCAGCTTTTGTTATCATATTTTTTATATGTTACATATAATGCTTCTAAAACAGGTTTGTGGTTTGCAGAGTTGCCGAAAGTCGGGCCAGTTACGCCAGACGACATAGAAACTGCTTTGAGGAACATCAGGCCATCGGCACATTTGCATGCTCATCGCTACGAGAAGTACAATGCAGACTATGGCAGCCAAATAATCCGATGATTGGCATACTGCTGCTTCAAGATCCTTCTAAATTGTCGGTCATGACTTCCCCAGATTTTAAACTCATCAGAGTACTAAAGCTTTTACTTTGCAATCAATTATGGGAAGCTATAATATATGTATAAGCTACAAGTTTGATAACTTTTGTTTTGATTTCATTCAAATTTGATCATTGAAATTAAAAAAAAAGTTATATTTAAATCACCTACATGATTGATGGTTATAATTTGGTCATTGAGTTGTTAACCCAGTTATTTTGATGATGTGATATGTTAGTGGGATAAAGTTAATTTCTACTTTGACTTGTGCACTTGAGATCAAAATTTATAAATTTTTGTTTCACTATATTTTATACAATTTTAAGATAGTAACACATTTTAATTTTAATTTTAATTTTATTTAAATTTTAATATATTTATTTCATTTTAATGACTAAATATTGACTCCATAAAACTAACCAAACTGACTAACATGAACCTGCATCGTTTATCGATACAAAGTAACATCACACTTTTTCTTCTTTTCCATCAAGGGGTGAGGAGGGCAAAAAAAACCATTCCTTTATTCGTTAATTTATTCTAGAGAGAAGAACATGTTTACAGATGCAGAGACAGATCTACCTCTTCTGGACCTTCCTCAGCTCCGAAACAGGCTTCCGATGCAGGAACTGGATCATCAACGTCCACGAAAAGAGGTAGCTCTTTCGGTGCAGAGACAATATTAGGCTTCTCAGGTTTGACATGAGCACTGGGGGAAATCTTAGGCTTTTTCGAAACGTTCGTTACGTCAGGCTTTTCAGATTCATCAGCTAAGTTGGGCCTCTTACCATTTTGGCACGTAAGCAAACTTCCACAGTTGTTCTGATCAGCTTTGTCCAGGTTTGAGCTTGGAGGACCTGAGAAAAGGCACAAACAGCAATAGATCATCGAAGATAGGCAATTGATATTGACCAGAAACTAAGGTCACGGTTAGTCACAAAAAAGGTAGGATTTGGAAGCTCACCAATAGGTGGACCTTGTATGTTCTGCAAGGCATCTCCACGAGTAAGTGGTAAACCATCCCGGCTAATCTGGAAATCATCGGTATTAAACTGACAAACTCCATTTGGACCCAAATGTAATGAAGTATCTATGTGAAAGCCAGTGGCTCCAACACTGTTAGATGGAGCAAAAGCAGCATAAGACATGGCTGCATGGGTACCAGCTGGAGCAATTTTCCCTGAAGCCAAACTGCTATGGTGAGAAGTTGCAGCACTACCACTAGTGTATGCGTAGATTGGAAACATGATAATCTGAGCTTGGGCAATTCCTGGGTTGCCATTGGTGAATCCGGTCATGCTTGCATGGTTTGTTTCATTTGAGCAGATCACCCTGTCGTAACCGGTTTTCGCCCGGACACGAAATATTTATTTTGACGGGAAAAGTGATGTGAATAAATGGTTTTGAAAATAATTTGGGAGTCGTCATCGGCCTTTTGGGTCAGGTAGGTCGAATACCTAAAAAATATCTTTTAAAAGAGTTTTTAAGAAAACATCAATTAAAAGAATGAACTGATCTGCGTTTATAACCAAAAATTCATTCTTTTTAATAATAAAAAGGGATTCATGGTCGGTTACGTTTAGGGAAGGATTAGCACCCCTACAACGCCCAAAATTGGTACTTTTTAATTATGAATTGTCTCTATTATTAAAATATTAAAAATTCAAAATATATTTAATTTATAATCCTATTATTTCAAAATTATAAAAAAATATTTAAAAATATCGGAAAAGAACTTCTAGGTGCCTTAAGACAGCTCTTTTCTTTGATATTGATAAATATTAATTTAAATTAAATAATATTTTTTATAATTTTTAATTTTAAAATATCAGAATAGGACATCCAGTTGCATTAAGACTGTCCTTTTCTTCGATATTGAAAAGTAAATATTAAAATAATTTATTTAAAATAAATATATATTTATTATATATATTTATGACTACATAATGACAATATTTAAATATATAAACAAATAAAATTAAAAAAATACAATTAGAGCTATATATTTAAAAGCAATAAAATACTAAAAATATTTAAAATAAATGACTAAATTATAGTAAAATTAAAATTAAAAACCTAATTCATAATTAATCAAAATTACAGGGATTAAACATGCTATTTTCTTATTTAATAATTTAGTGACTAAAATAAACTTATCTAAAATTCGAATATAAGATTAAAATAAATTAAAAATATAAACTAGGGATTAAAATATTATTTATTAAAGTTAAGGGATTAAATCTGTTATTTATCCTAAATATATTATTTTAATATAAAGGACTAAAATGAATAAAATTGAAATTCGAAGACTGAATTACAACGTTCAGAAGTTAATTTCAGTGACTAAAATGAATAATTACAAAACTCAGATGGCTGCGGAAAGGGTTTGACCTTAATGGAAATTACAGAAATACCCTCCCCAAAACGACGTCGTTTGGGAGAGGGTATTTATTCCCTAAGCCGGCTGGCCCTACGGGCCAGCTTCTCATTTCCTCCTTTCTCTTCTCTCTCAAACAGAGAGAGAGAAGAGTTCTCTGGCTTCTCTCTAAACTGAGAGAAGCCGTCCCGGTCAGCCACCGCTGCCGGGCTCCGACCCCCGCTGTCGGCCACCGTTAATGGTGGCCGGAAATTACAAAAATCCACCAAAATATAGATCGGGACTGTCTAAAACCGTTTCCGGTGTTCTTTTTCCTTAAAAAGCTCCCAATCGGAGCAAATCTACAAAAGTACCTTCGGTTTTCGTTGTATCCGGCGACGGTTGGGGTTCTCCGATGATAGAGTAAGCTTCTTGCCTCTCTTCTCTCTTTTTTTTCTTTTTTTTTCTGCGTTGATGTTGACTGAGATCGTTGGTATATTTTTTAGTATATCTTTTTTTCTTTTCTCTGTTTTTCTCTCCGTCTCTCTGTGTTCTCTGTCTCCTTTTTTTTTTGGTATTTGCTGCAGATTCAGTGGCCATATTTATAGGCCTCATCGGACCTCGTCTCGGACCGGTCATTAGAGTGATTTTTCGGTGAGTCACCGAACTGGTGGTGACTCACCCTTGAGCATTGACGTGTGGAGGGCAGCTGGGTCTTATGGAGGCTTCGTCGACGAGGTGGCGTGGTACTGTAGTGTCGGCAGCATCTGGTTGAACCATCTGGCTTGGGAGGCGTCGGCAGAGGCGGCTGCTGAGATCTCTTGGAGCGGCAGCGGCGGCGGCGGCAAGAATGCTAGGGTTTAGAAACCCTAGCTAAAACCCTAAATTGGTTTAGGGTTTCCTTTTGGGTCTGGGCCGGTTCTGGTTGTTTGTAACTGGGCCGGTCCAGTTTTCATTGGGCCTGTAATTAATTATTTTTAATAATATTTATATATATATTTAATATATTTAATAATAATAATAATAATGATAATAATAATAATAATAATAAAAATAATAATAAAAATAATAATAATAAATCAATATGGGTAAAAAATTAGTATCTTCAGCTGCCCCTCTTTGCTCATTCTTGTGTTAACAGGAATAGGGCAAAGATGAAAAGATAATAAAATTTTTTATCCATTTGGCTTCACTTGATCATAATGGAGATGTTGAATAACTTCTTCTCTTTCTTTCAAATGAGTTCTTCTCATTATGAACTTTCCGCTGGGGATGATGTTGACCTCTTTCTTTTTGTGATAGAGTCATTCAAAAGGTTGAATAAGCTCTTGATGAGTTCTTCTCATTATGAACTTCTTCATCCTTCTCTTTTGATGAGTTCTTCTCATTATGAACTTCTTTCTGGCAAGGCTGATCCATCAATTGATGAATTCATGTAAAAGGTTGAACAAGTTCTTCTCATTATGAACTTCTTCATCCTTCTTCAGATGAGTTCTTCTCATTATGAACTTTCTCTGGAAAAGCTGATCCATCAAGTGATGAATTCATGCAAAAGGTTGAACAAATTCTTCTCATTATGAACTTCTTCTTCCTTCTTCAGATGAGTTCTTCTCTTTATGAACTTTCTCTGGAAAAGCTGATCCATCAAGTGATGAATTCATGTAAAAGGTTGAACAAGTTCTTCTCATTATGAACTTCTTCATCCTTCTTCAGATGAGTTCTTCTCATTATGAACTTTCTCTGGAAAAGCTGATCCATCAAGTGATGAATTCATGTAAAAGGTTGAACAAGTTCTTCTCATTATGAACTTCTTCATCCTTCTTCAGATGAGTTCTTCTCATTATGAACTTTCTCTGGAAAAGCTGATCCATCAAGTGATGAATTCATGTAAAAGGTTGAACAAGTTCTTCTCATTATGAACTTCTTCTTCCTTCTTCAGATGAGTTCTTCTCATTATGAACTTTCTCTGGAAATGTCAATCCATCAAATGATAGATTTGAATCTTTGCTAAAATCTTTGAAATTCCTGTTAAAAATTCAACATAGATGAAAATGAATGAAAATGCACCTATTTTTGCAAACACCTAAATATGATGCATGAATGTTAAGTTATTTGATTTCAGATTGGTGAATTGAGTATTTCTTCAATTGTAAAAACCCAATAGATCTTTCTTCTTCAAATCAGAGAATCTATCATTTTTGACAAATGTAGATGTAGATATAATGTCACAAAACCTCTTGAGAATAAAACTCAATAGTATAGGCTCTTGAAAAGCTTGCATTCAAGCAACATGTTGATTCTGATAACAACTCATCTGATTATGAAGTGACCTTTTCAGATGATTTCACAGATATCGATAGTTCTTTTAATATCGAGAAATCTTGAATTCTGATTCTGATGAGGAGAATAAACTGTTATACTTGACAAAAATGGGATTCTCAGAGGCTGAAACTTCAATAGCCCTGGAGAAATGTGGTCCAGATTCATCAATTATAAAATTGATAGATTTTATATGTGCTGTTCAAATGACTAAGGATGCTGACGCACTTCTTCTGGTAAAAGATGGGAAGCCATTATGTGATGATCCCAATTACAAGAAAAGGCGAAACCTGGGCTATGATTTTTTTGGAAAGGAATAAGCAAAAGAAGCTTGAAAAGAAGCTTCTTAATGAAGACGATCATGCAGTTCATCTTTTAATTCCAATGATTGGTTCTGTAGTTCCTACCAAACCAGATCAGATAACTCAAAGAACACTTCCAGAAGATGCTATTAGCAAATTCATCTTCCAAATTCAATGATTGGTTCTGCCAAACCAGATCAGATAACTCAAAGAACACTTTCAGAAGATGCTATTGAGTCTCCTTATTTTTACTATGAGCAAATTCATCTTCCAAATTCAATGATTGGTTCTGCCAAACCAGATCAGATAACTCAAAGAACACTTCCAAAAGATGCTATTGAGTCTCCTTATTTTTACTATGAGCAAATTCATCTTCCAAATTCAATGATTGGTTCTGCCAAACCAGATCAGATAACTCAAAGAACACTTCCAAAAGATGCTATTGAGTCTCCTTATTTTTACTATGAGCAAATTCATCTTCCAAATTCAATGATTGGTTCTGCCAAACCAGATCAGATAACTCAAAGAACACTTCCAGAAGATGCTATTGAGTCTCCTTATTTTTACTATGAGCAAATTCATCTTCCAAATTCAATGATTGGTTCTGCCAAACCAGATCAGATAACTCAAAGAACACTTCCAAAAGATGCTATTGAGTCTCCTTATTTTTACAATGAGCAAATTCATCTTCCAAATTCAATGATTGGTTCTGTCAAACCAGATCAGATAACTCAAAGAACACTTCCAGAAGATGCTATTGAGTCTCCTTATTTTTACTATGAGCAAATTCATCTTCCAAATTCAATGATTGGTTCTGCCAAACCAGATCAGATAACTCAAAGAACACTTCCAAAATATGCTATTGAGTCTCCTTATTTTTACTATGAGCAAATTCATCTTCCAAATTCAATGATTGGTTCTGCCAAACCAGATCAGATAACTCAAAGAACACTTCCAGAAGATGCTATTAGCAAATTGCATTTATTCCAGTTAAGGTTTAGACTGGGATATCACAGTACTTATTACATGTAAAGCCATAATTTGTAGATTCGAAACATTTTCATGCTACTACACTGACAAGGGTTATATTCATAATTCTGCCAATTAAGAACAGATTTTCTCTTTATTCTGCTTCCTCCATGTGCTGATGCTTTTCCATTGACAAAGAAATGATGGCCTTCCTGGGATCCAAGAACAAAGTTGAACTGTTTATAAACATGTACAGGAAGTGCCAAATTGACAGAAAGGATCTGTAAGGTTCTTGAAGCTTATGACAATGAGCCACCTTCGAGTATCCAGAAGTATGTTCTTAATGAGTGCTGAAAATGGAATCTAGTATGGGTTGGAAGGAATAAAG